TAAAATCTATTTGCAAAAAGTGTAAAAAATATTTGCCGAAACTTTTTTAAGAAATGGCAAAGTAGGAAAAAAATTGCAGCATCGCATTCTTTGCTATTTTATGAACGTTTTCAGATTGATTTATAACTCAAAAAGGTACTCTACGCGTAGAAAAAAGTGTGCTCTTTAATTTAATATAAAAATCATTAAATTCCATTTGCGAAAAGTATAAAAAATATTTGCTGAAACTTTTCAAAGAAATTGCAAAGATGCACAACTTGCAGCATTGCATTCTCTGACATTTTATGAACCTTTGCAGATAGATTTATATCTCGACAAAGTATTCCACGCGTAGACAAAAGAGTGCACTTTAATTTAATATAAAAATCATTAAAATCCGTTTGCTAAAAGTATAAAAAATATTTACCGAAACATTTCAAAGATATGGCAATGTTGAACAATTTACAACATTGCAATCTCTGATATTTCTTTAAATATTTTTTATACTAAAAGTTAATAGATTTTAATGAAACTTATATTAAATTAAAGTACACTCTTTTGTCTATGCGTAGAATCCCTTTTTGAGTTATAAATAAATTTGCAAAGGTTTAGAAAATATCAGAGAATGCAATGCAGTAAATTGTGCATCTTTGCAATTTCTTTGATAAGTTTCGGCAAATATTTTTTATACTTTTAGCAAACGCATTTTAATGATTTTTATATTAAATTAAAGTACACTCCTTTGTCTACGCGTAGAATACTTTATTGAGTTATAAATTTAGCATGTAAAGTTCAGAAAATGTCAGAGAATGCAATGCAGTAAATTGTGCATTTCTGCAATTCCTTCGAAAAGTTTCGGTAAATATTTTGTATACTTAAAATAAATAGATTTTAATGGTACTTATTTTAAATTAAATTACACACTATAGTCTACAAGTAAAATACTTCTTTGAGTAATAAATCGATTTGAAAAAATTCAGACAATTCCAAACAAAAGTTAGCAATCCCTGACAGGTTCAGAGAAACCTAACAATATATATATTTAATTCAATCTAAAAAATACAATAAAGTATAACATATAACGCGTATAAAAATGTATTAAAAAACAAAAACTCGATAGAAAATTATTTCACATAAGATCTAATACACGTGTCTAGTTTTTTTATATATATCAATAGTTCACATTATAATTATATTCTACATATAAAGAGATAGAGAGTAGCAAAATGGTGATGGTGGAGGGAATGAGGCAGGGGGGAGGGAGGGGTGGTGGTGTAGAGAAGATAGAATAGATGCAAATGGATGGAATTGATTTGAATCCATTCTTCTTCATTGATTACAGATTTTCTGAGAGAATGGAGAGAAATTCGTTTCCATTCAGGACGAACTCACTCACTCTCTCTCTCTCTCTCTCTTTCTCTCTCTCTCTTCTTTTATTTCTTTCTGTCTCATTCACTCTCCTTCGTAAAATATCTTTAAAATGAATATGATATCTTCGACTTACCCGAGTAGGAAGACAAAAGCTGCCAGAAGAAACGCAAGGACCTCCGGATACCGGCAAGGTTTGTAATCCTCTCTAATTGGACGACAAGCAAGCCAGAATTCTGTGCCAGGTACTATACAAGCCATGATGCAGCAGACACCAATTGTTGCTAAAAATATTGCCTCAACGTGCATCGACTGTAATCATCATCAAAATCATCAAAATCATCATCGATGTAGTAAGTAACATCAAGAAAATCATATAAAAATGATTACTCTCTCTCTCTCTCTCTTTCTTTTTCTTTCTCTTTCTTTTTTTTTTATTTGTGATAGTGACTTTGACGATCAATCAAACTGCATTTCATTTTTTAACCAGTTAACTGTGTCGATCATTTTGCAAAATGCACCATAGTGTGTGTCCCGATAATCAACCGATGACGGATATAGTCGTCAAACACAGAGTAAGTTGCGCTGTTGAAATATTCGATCAAAAAGACGACTTTGTTTTAGAAAATGAATGAATTTATGAGTAATATTTAAACAATGGATCCAACGTAAAGCTATATTTACACATAATTAACGAAAAACTTAACAAAAAATCAAATATTTAACAAACAAACAAACAAACAAAATTTGTTTTTTTCTTTTCTTTGGTTAGACATCGCGGACATCATCGCAGATGGAGAATCTAATATACTTTGTTTTTTTGGTTATGACACGTTAAGATAATAATTGGGTTAATCAAAGATCTAGTGTCCAACTCAAATTATCTATAATTTTCATTTGTTTATTTCATTTCGTTCTGACCCCTAAACATTCTAAACATATTAATATTTACGAATGTAATTTTGTTTTCGTCAGAATTACAATTTAAATATCAAATTGTATGAAAATTTTACGCACGACGGATATAGCCGTCAAAACACAGAATTCTGCCATTCTTCCATGACGGATATAGCCGTCAAACACACTTAACTGGTTAAATGACATGTTTTCAACTATTTCTTTCTCTTTCTTTCTTTCTTATTCTTACACTTATTTTATTTTCTTCATTTTCTATATGACATTCTCATTTTAATATATTTGACGAGATATATTTTATATATCAGAAAGATCTACTTACTTCTGATATTAATTTTGAAGTTGTAATACGGTTCTCTATTGCTTCTATCAATAAACCTGTGAAGATGATAATATAATATTGAATTATTGTAACTTGAAATTTGATTCATTATTTACTTATAATTGTTTAATAAAGGTGTTTGCAATTTGTTGTTCGTTAAGAGTTTTCATTCGAAATATTTCTCGTTCAATTAAAATTTCTTCGAAAATAATTCGTAGATGTATAAAAATAAAAAAACATAATACTAACATAAAATAAAAATATTCCTTACGTGAGATTAATGTTGTTAAATTTGTATTCATATTAATAAAAAGAAGTGAATTAGATTAATAACGTTGAATTAGAAATATTTGTCATTCGATAACACATACAATGTATTAAATTTTTGAAATATAATCAACTTGTAGAACATTATTATATATATATAATTACCAATATATATATACATATTTGATAATATATATACATATAGGATAATTATTGTTTAATTTATTAACAAAATTAAATAATTATCCTATTTAAATTTTGTTATATTCACACGTTTATATTATACATTATTGTTTTACAGTAATAAAATTGAAAAGAACGTTATTTTTGTATTCTTTGAGATAGAAAAAAAAAATATTACTTTCTCGTACACATGATCGATATTCATAATTCTCCCATAAAGCAACAACCGAGAACTCGTACGAGCGAATATAATTGCAAACGAACCGCAATAGTGTGGGATACAACTGCATTTCGAATTTATTTATCGAGTCATCTGTATGCATGCACTATACGCGTTTTCCGTAATGGAACGTTGGGAGAGAATTAAAGCGACGATCAAGGGAAGCCATGGTAAAACATCTCTCTCTCTCTCTCTTACTCTCACACACACACTCTCTCTCTTTCTATTTCTGTTATTCATCAGTAAGATTCAGCTTTGAAATGAAAATATTTCGAGATGTAATTTCTAAAAGAAAATAGACAACTTAGAATATTATTTTTGATTTTTTTGCTTAAATACATATGTATGTATGATGTTTGTGTGTGTGTGTGTACCTATAAACATTTTGTTTCTTATCTTAAATATCAAACNCTAAACATTCTAAACATATTAATATTTACGAATGTAATTTTGTTTTCGTCAGAATTACAATTTAAATATCAAATTGTATGAAAATTTTACGCACGACGGATATAGCCGTCAAAACACAGAATTCTGCCATTCTTCCATGACGGATATAGCCGTCAAACACACTTAACTGGTTAAATGACATGTTTTCAACTATTTCTTTCTCTTTCTTTCTTTCTTATTCTTACACTTATTTTATTTTCTTCATTTTCTATATGACATTCTCATTTTAATATATTTGACGAGATATATTTTATATATCAGAAAGATCTACTTACTTCTGATATTAATTTTGAAGTTGTAATACGGTTCTCTATTGCTTCTATCAATAAACCTGTGAAGATGATAATATAATATTGAATTATTGTAACTTGAAATTTGATTCATTATTTACTTATAATTGTTTAATAAAGGTGTTTGCAATTTGTTGTTCGTTAAGAGTTTTCATTCGAAATATTTCTCGTTCAATTAAAATTTCTTCGAAAATAATTCGTAGATGTATAAAAATAAAAAAACATAATACTAACATAAAATAAAAATATTCCTTACGTGAGATTAATGTTGTTAAATTTGTATTCATATTAATAAAAAGAAGTGAATTAGATTAATAACGTTGAATTAGAAATATTTGTCATTCGATAACACATACAATGTATTAAATTTTTGAAATATAATCAACTTGTAGAACATTATTATATATATATAATTACCAATATATATATACATATTTGATAATATATATACATATAGGATAATTATTGTTTAATTTATTAACAAAATTAAATAATTATCCTATTTAAATTTTGTTATATTCACACGTTTATATTATACATTATTGTTTTACAGTAATAAAATTGAAAAGAACGTTATTTTTGTATTCTTTGAGATAGAAAAAAAAAATATTACTTTCTCGTACACATGATCGATATTCATAATTCTCCCATAAAGCAACAACCGAGAACTCGTACGAGCGAATATAATTGCAAACGAACCGCAATAGTGTGGGATACAACTGCATTTCGAATTTATTTATCGAGTCATCTGTATGCATGCACTATACGCGTTTTCCGTAATGGAACGTTGGGAGAGAATTAAAGCGACGATCAAGGGAAGCCATGGTAAAACATCTCTCTCTCTCTCTCTTACTCTCACACACACACTCTCTCTCTTTCTATTTCTGTTATTCATCAGTAAGATTCAGCTTTGAAATGAAAATATTTCGAGATGTAATTTCTAAAAGAAAATAGACAACTTAGAATATTATTTTTGATTTTTTTGCTTAAATACATATGTATGTATGATGTTTGTGTGTGTGTGTGTACCTATAAACATTTTGTTTCTTATCTTAAATATSAAACGAATGAAATATTCAAAGAAATATTTTCCTTTTTGTTATATACAAATGAAATTGAATTTCTTTTTCTGTTTAATTTTTTTTTTCTGAATAAATAAAAAATAAAAAATAACCAATAATAATTTTTGATTTCTTTACTTAAATGCATGTGTGTGTACCTATAAACATTTTGTTTCTTATCTTAAATATCAAACAAATGAAATATTCAAAGAAATATTTTCATTTTTGTTATATACAAATGAAATTGAATTTCTTTTTTGTTTAATTTTATTTTTTTGTGAATAAATAAAAAATAACCAATAATAATTTTTGATTTCTTTAATTAAATGCATGTGTGTGTACCTATAAACATTTTGTTTCTTATCTTAAATATCAAACGAATGAAATATTTTTCTTTTTGTTATATACAAATAAAATTGAATTTCTTTTTTTGTTTAATTTTGTTGTGAATAAATAAAAAATAACCAATAATAATTTTTAATTTCTTTACTTAAATGCATGTGTGTGTACCTATAAACATTTTGTTTCTTATCTTAAATATCAAACGAATGAAATATTCAAAAAAATATTTTCCTCTTTGTTATATACAAATGATATTGAATTTCTTTTTTGTTTAATTTTATTTTTTTGTGAATAAATAAAAAATAAAAAATAAGCAATAATATTTAAATAAGTGGTGTATTTATCGTACTTTACCGATCGGTACATCGTACGGATGAACGAGATAAAGAACACTTCGTAGAAAATGAAATAGAAAGGGTGCTTCCTCGAGATGTAAAGTTGCCATCTTGAAATCACCCTCGGATATCGTTTTAGGAAAATTTAATTTAGGTGCTTGTTCTTCCCAATCCTTTGCGATAGACGGTGTCCACAAATGTGAAACATTTGTATTATTATTTTTCACATTATTATCTCCCATATAAACGTCCATCTTGGAATAAAGTTGTTCTCGTTGATTTTCATTAGGAATGTTTAAAGTAATATTATTGTTATTATTTATTGTCGTACAATTATCATCGATATTGTTGATTTTTACGATCATCGTACAATCATCTTCCTCTGCGTTAACGTTCATGGTGATCGTGATGACAATTAGAAAGATTCCTGTATAAAATATATATATATATATATATAATAATAATATAATTAATATTAATTGATCTCTCACACATTTTTATTTTTTATTATTATTATTATTTAATTAATAAATAAATAATCGTGTCCATTTCTTTTATTGTTTTCCTTTTTCATCATATTTCATTTTTTAAATTTTCAAACAAAATATTCTTGTTATATTCGATAAGATAACAAAAAAAAAATAATTTTAAAAGGGTTAGAAAGAGAAATAAAAAAAAAAAGAAAAGGATCGAACTGATCGAGGAAAAATAAACACCAATGACGCGAGATCAACACCACCACCACCATCAACCACCATCAAAATAATTCGATAATTCCTCTTCCCATATTTATTTTTGTTTTCTTTTTTATTTTCTCGAAGAACGATGAAAGTTTCCCCCAGTCCTAACACCATCCCTCACATTTTTCTTCTTCCACCCGTTAGATTTTGTTTTCATCGCGAAAATTGAATTTGTCCACGTTGCGAGAGGGGCGGGGGTGAAAAAGGAAAAGGGGAACTTTAAAGAAACGTATAAATGGGTAAAAGTACTGTCAAAAATTTGATGAAAAAAGAAATAAAAAAAAGAAAAGAAAGAATTCAAAAACTGACAAAACAAAGATGACTTTATATTCTAATGCAACAAAATTTGACAAAACGTCTCGTTGCATCTGTCGTAAAAAAAAAAGAAAAATATGAAAATTTATATTCCAATATGTATTTCAAAATTTGCAACAATTGAAAACAAATGGAAAGAAATAAAAAACGAGAATAATAATAATAATAATAATAATAATAATATACGTGCCATGAATTAGAGCCATTTTCTGTTCAGAACTTTGCCTTTTTCTCGCTTGTATTTTTTCTGTTCGAATGAACGTTCTGATCGTTACTGACAACAGAAAGAAAAAGAGAAAGAACATAAAAAAAATAGATTATTGGAAAAAGAAAGAAACGAGACAAGCAATACGGTGTTGCCTTACAACCGCCACGAGCTGACTGTCGTTTTACAGAATTCGTGCAGAGGCTTCTCCAGGAAGCCTTTCAAACTTTCTCTTTCTCTCTCTTTCGATGTTGTCGAACTCTTGGCTTGGATCGAAATGAACTGAAAGAAAAAAAAAAATAAAGAGTGAAGGGAAAGAAAAAAAAATATATGAACACACTCATATAAATACACATGTGTACGTTTCTATACACTTGAGAACATATTAGTAAAAGGTGTGAAACCAAGATGGGGTAGATAAGTAAGGGATGCAACAGTAGGGGTGGGGGGGTGAGGTGGGGGGTATAAGGAAAGGGATGGAAATCGAAATGGAATTGTGAAAGTAACCGGGTTATAGTTCGATACCATTAGTTAAATCAGCACTATGATTTTCGAGGGTAATCCTATGTGTTATATATATACATGTGTGTGTGTGTATGTATCACGTATTCGATGTATTTATGTATGTATTAATGTGACGTAT